CGGAGTACATGGCAGCCTCGGAGGCAGCACATGAAGCAATATGGGTGAAGGAGTTCATCACCGACCTAGGAGTCATACCCAATGCGTCGGGGCCGATCAAACTCTTCTATGACAACACTGGAGCTATTGCACTTGCCAAGGAGCCCAGGTTTCACAAGAAGACAAGGCACATCAAGCGTCGCTTCAACTCCATTCGTGAAAATGTTCAAGATGGAGACATAGAGATTTGTAAAGTACATACGGACCTGAATGTAGCAGATCCGTTGACTAAACCTCTCCCTAGAGCAAAACATGATCAACACCAGAATTCCATGGGTGTTCGATTCATCACAATGTAACTAGATTATTGACTCTAGTGCAAGTGGGAGACTGTTGGAAATATGCCCTAGAGGCAATAATAAAAGCATTATTATTATATTTCCTTGTTCATGATAATTGTCTTTATTCATGCTATAATTGTGTTATCCGGAAATCGTAATACATGTGTGAATAACAGACACCGACATGTCCCTAGTGAGCCTCTAGTTGACTAGCTCGTTGATCAACAGATAGTCATGGTTTCCTGACTATGGACACTGGATGTCATTGATAACGAGATCACATCATTGGGAGAATGATGTGATGGACAAGACCCAATCCTAAACATAGCACAAAGATCGTATAGTTCGTTTGCTAGAGTTTTCCAATGTCAAGTATCTTTTCCTTAGACCATGAGATCGTGTAACTCCCGGATACCGCAGGAGTGCTTTGGGTATGCCAAACGTCACAACGTAACTGGGTGACTATAAAGGTAGACTACGGGTATCTCCGAAAGTGTCTGTTGGGTGACATGGATCAAGACTGGGATTTGTCACTCCGTATGACGGAGAGGTATCACTGGGCCCACTCGGTAATGCATCATCATAATGAGCTCAGTGTGACCAAGTGTCTGGTCACGGGATCATGCATTACGGTACGAGTAAAGTGACTTGCCGGTAACGAGATTGAACGAGGTATTGGGATACCGACGATTGAATCTCGGGCAAGTAACATATCGATAGACAAAGGGAATAGCGTACGGGATTGATTGAATCCTCGACATCGTGGTTCATCCGATGAGATCATCGTGGAGCATGTGGGAGCCAACATGGGTATCCAGATCCCGCTGTTGGTTATTGACCGGAGAGTCGTCTCGGTCATGTCTGCTTGTCTCCCGAACCTGTAGGGTCTACACACTTAAGGTTCGGTTACGCTAGGGTTGTAGGGATATGTATATGCAGTAACCCGAATGTTGTTCGGAGTCCCGGATGAGATCCCGGACGTCACGAGGAGTTCCGGAATGGTCCGGAGGTAAAGATTTATATATGGGAAGTCCTGTTTCGGGCATCGGGACAAGTTTCGGGGTTATCGGTATTGTACCGGGGCCACCGGAAGGGTCCCGGGGGTCCACCGGGTGGGTCCACCTGTCCCGGGGGGCCACATGGGCTGTAAGGGGGTGCGCCTTGGCCTTATGGGCCAAGGGCACCAGCCCCACATAGGCCCATGCGCCTAGGGTTTGAGGGGGGAAGAGTCCTAGGAGGGGAAGGCACCTCCTAAGTGCCTTGGGGGGAGGGAAACCCCCCTTGGCCGCCGCACCCCCTAGGAGATTGGATCTCCTAGGGCCGGCCCACCCCCCTTGGCCCTCCTATATATAGTGGGGGAGAGGAGGGACTTCATACCTGAAGGCCTTGGCCTTTGGTTGCCTCCTTCTCCCTCCCCAACACCTCCTCCTCCATAGTGCTTAGCGAAGCTCTGCCGGAGTACTGCAGCTCCATCAACACCACGCCGTCGTGCTGCTGCTGGTGCCATCTCCCTCAACCTCTCCTTCCTCCCTTGCTGGATCAAGAAGGAGGAGACGTGGCTGTTCCGTACGTGTGTTGAACGCGGAGGTGCCGTCCGTTCGGCGCTGGTCATCGGTGATTTGGATCACGTCGAGTACGACTACATCATCACCGTTCTTTTGAACGCTTTCGTGAGCGATCTACAAAGGTATGTAGATGCATCCAATCACTCGTTGCTAGATGAACTCCTAGATGATCTTGGTGAAACGAGTAGGAAAATTTTTGTTTTCTGCAACGTTCCCCAACAGTTCCTACATATTCTACGAAGATCTTTATCGGTCAAACCGCATAACAACATACATTGTTCCCTTTGTCATCGGTATGTTACTTGCCCGAGATTCGATCGTCGATATCCAATACCTAGTTCAATCTCGTTACCGACAAGTCTCTTTACTCGTTACGTAATGCATCATTCCGTAACTAACTCATTAGCTACATTGCTTGCAAGGCTTATAGTGATGTGCATTACCGAGAGGGCCCAGAGATACCTCTCCGACAATCGGAGTGACAAAACCTAATCTCGAAATACGCTAACCCAACATGTACCTTTGGAGACACCTGTAGTACTCCTTTATAATCACCCAGTTACGTTGTGACGTTTGGTAGCACCCAAAGTGTTCCTCCGGCAAACGGGAGTTGCATAATCTCATAGTTACAGGAACATGTATAAATCATGAAGAAAGCAATACCAATATACTAAACGATCAAGTGCTAGGCTAACGGAATGGGTCATGTCAATCACATCATTCTCCTAATGATGTGATCCCATTAATCAAATGACAACACATGTCTATGGTTAGGAGACATAACCATCTTTGATTAATGAGCTAGTGAAGTAGAGGCATACTAGTGATGTTATGTTTGTCTATGTATTCACACATGTATCATGTTTCCGGTTAATACAATTCTAGCATGAATAATAAACATTTATCATGATATGAGGAAATAAATAATAACTTTATTATTGCCTCTAGGGCATATTTCCTTCACGGACGACGAGGAGGCGCTCGCGGCGCTACTGGAGGAGGAAGCCAAAGCCGACGCCCAGGACGAAGATCATCTCATGGTCCTCGCCGCCCTGGCCAGCCTGCTCGCGAGCAATGTAAGCCTCAGCGAGGTGGCTCGGCGCCGGGCCAGATGAAGGCAAATAACCGGCATCGACTGGAAGGCTATTGCTTGCCCTACTCGGACTACTTCTCCGACGCTCCACTGCACGGCGACAAAGTATTTCGGCGCCGTTATCGGATGAGCCGAAAGCTCTTCCTCAGGATTGTGAATTCCATTAGGTAGTTCGACAGCTACTTCAAGTGCAAGAAGGATTGCACCGACACACTTAGATTCATCTCACACCAGAAGTGCACGACAACTATGAGGATGCTTGCATACGGAGCTCCCGGTGATTCACTAGACAACTATGAGCGCATGGCCGAGTCCACGACCATTGAGTGTTTCTACAAGTTCGGATCCTAGCACATAATGCATCAAGAGGATTTCCTGGGATGCCTGGAAGCATCGACTGCATGTATTGGAAATGGAAGAACTGTCCATTTACTTGGCATGGGATGTACAAAGGTGCCAAAGGCGGTTGTAGTGTGGTACTTGAGGCAGTTACCACACACGACCTCTGGATTTGGCACTCCTTCTTTGGTATACCAGGAACTCACAATGACATCAACGTACTGCAGTGTTCCCCTGTCTTTGCCAGCTTGTTGAATGTCATTCTCCTCCGGTGAACTTCGATGTCAATGGGCGGCACTACAACAAGGGATACTACCTAGCAGATGACATCTATCCAAGATGGTCCATATTTGTGAAGACTATCTCAAACCCTGTGCCAGGAGGCGGGAGCTCCCACTTTGCGAAGGTTCAGGAGGCTTGCAGGAAGGATGTCGAGCGGGCATTTGGTGTGCTCCAATCTCGATTTACTGTTGTCCGGTACCCTGCTCAGACCTGGTCGAAAGATCAAATGTGGGAGATCATGACTTGCTGTGTCATCTTGCACAACATGATCATTGAGAGCGAGCAGGAAGAACCAGTGTTTGACACTGAACCATATTACAGGCAGGGTCCTCTTGCCCGAGTTGATCACCAGCTACCGGCAATCTGGACTGCCTTCCTCAATATGCGTCAGGAGATCCGAGACCGACAGGTGCATCAACAACTGCAGCAGGATCTGGTGGAGCACCTATGAAGGCCCAAGGGCAATGCCTAGCTCGGCGTGTGATGAAATATGAGTTTTTATTTGTTGAACTATATAATTTATATTGAACTATTTGATTTTTATTGATTTTCTGTGATGAACTATGTGATAAAAATAGCTTATGTTCAATTTGTGCCGAAGCACGCCGAATACGAGTCGAAATTGGTCAATTTGCGTCTATAGTGGGCCAATTTGCATCAAAAATGGGTTGAAAAGTGGATCAATTTACGTCAGGCGGCATGGATGCGGCGGCTGGGAAACAGATCGCCCCAAGCCGATATTTCAACCGGCGCGCCACCAGGGCGGCGCTTTTTCTAGCCCCTGGGGTGCCGAACGAGTGGAGATGCTCTTAGCTAATTTAGCTAGCTCATGAGCAACCTAATTACAATCTCTACTACAATGCTCAAACATAACATGATTAAAATCTAACTTCATGAAGAAACATTCATCGATAATGGCACTTGCTACTGAATTCGAGCCACTTTCATTAAGATCATTGACAACCCCTTCATTATCCGAGGCCACTTCAATCTTGCTGCAACCCACCATACGTACAGTTCAGTTTGAATCTAACTGCTATTGCTCCAGCGGTGAAAGCATCATAACAAGGACTCAATCTTTCGTTTGCAGCGGCAATAAACTTTAATCTTACAAGAGTTACGATCGAAACGCATACTACTCCGATACCGACACGAAGACAGAGTGACCGTACTAGTTGGAATACTCTCCGGCCCCGGCCCTTCGGAAAACCCGAAAAGACTCATTAAAAAACCCACCACCACCACGGTGCCGCTGCCGACTCGCCCACGCAACTCCATCGGTCTCGCCTCGCACATCTTCCTCACCGCCTCCTGCCCCGCCCCGCCCACCTCGCCGGAACCCTACCTCCTACCCCTTCGCGCCCCTGCCCGATCCGCCGATCATCGGACTTGGCAAGCGCAATGGACTCCGACTCCGAGATGCCCGTCGCTAGCGACGAGGAGATGGTGGACGACGAGGACTACTACTACTACAGCGACGAGGGTGAGGGCGACGACGGGGACGCCAGCGGCGGCGGCGGCGCCTCCGGCGACGAGGATGTATCGGCTGGAGACTACGAGGGCCGGGAGGCCGAGGGGAGCGACGAGGCCGTCTCCACGCGCGAGCAGGTGAGCCGGTGAATCAATCCATATGGCCGGACACAGATCGGGCCCTTACTTCCCTGGTGCTTTCGCCTTTTTGGGGATTGTTAGGGTTTGAGACCAAACGGGCTAAAAAAACACTATAGAGTAATAATGTCACATCCACTCGGAAAGGTGAACAGTTCTTGGTTAGTTCTTGGCTGCTTTAGCGGTGAGCGGTGGCCTGTTGCCTGATGCTGAATGGAGCGGTTCTCTTGGCAGACCGGTTGCTAAAACTGAAGGGGTTAAGATGCCCTTGCGGGGTGTGACGAATAATGAGATTTGGCATTTGAATGTGGGGAATTTTTCAAGGAGCATTGATGTTCATTGCCAAACTGTTAGCGTTTGTTAGAGCTGGCTTGACCTGCTTGTACCTGTCGCTTTTAGTTATAATCCTTGTTGTAGTTATTCAATGAGTCAAGTATTTTCCTTAATAAGGAGTAAGATAGCGAGTCAAGTTCTTGTCTACAATTCAGTGGGTCAAGGCAAGAAGTCTTGGGCTGTAACAAAGCCACTAAGCTGGATAATGCTTGATTTACTTGTGATACTGTTCTGTTGCAAATTGATGATTAAACACAAATTATGCACGGGATAATGCTTGATTTACTTGTGATATAATTGGTGAGTATCATATCAGTTAATGGATCAGATTTGTCACTAGTAAGCAGTGAGATGGGTTGCAGGCTTGCAGCTCTGTTTATTTCTGTAGTTTGCTCGTTCCGTCTATGTAATGGACGATTAGCTTGATCAGGGATGCACTGCTTCTACGGGCTCTGCCTAGTGTTCAGCAGGCAAGAGTTATGCTTGGACGCATCCAATAGCTGTACCAATTCATGATATATGTTAACCTTTAGATGCTTGATAATAGGTTGCCGATTCGATAACTTTCTGTCCTGAGCTGGAGAACCAGTTGGATACTGTGTTTTTTCTGGAAAATCAAGTTGTTCTTTCTTTACATGATTTACAAACTGGCATTGCATTCCCCTGTTGCATTACTCTTCCATGTCATATTGCTTCATTCTATATGCTTGAGTTCTCTAAAAGAATTTTTGTTCCTGCTATCTACAGAGATACATTGTTTTAACCGAAAAGGATATATCTGAACGCCAAGAGGAAGATATAAGCGAGGTATCTGCATTACTGTTGATTCCAAGGGAAGAAGCATCTGTCCTTCTTCACCACTATAAATGGTCAGTTTGTTATCTCAGTCCGGTAACTTCTAGTAATATTTGGATTGTGCTCTGCGATACACAGGCTACTCATGTCACATCTAAACATAATATTCTATGGTTATAATCTCTTTCTAACTTTCTACCACATCTAAAGATGCTCTACGAGCATACCACCTCATTGGTATTTCAAAAATTTGCAGTGTAGTTTTGGATAGAGCCCGCAACTGTTCCTGCAAAAATACCCTCCTGAGAATAATCCTATAATTGTGCCTTTTTATCCGTACATCTTGTATCTAAAGTTCTAAACACCAGACATTGATTTTTTTTAAATTTTTTTGTGCCTTACGTTCTTTGAATTTACTAATTTCACCTTGATTGTGAAATTTTACGTAAGGCAATGCGCACACTTTTCTTGCTTGGTGGTTGGAAATTGAAGAGTTGGATCTTTTGGTACTATTTGGAAGTAATGTTGTTTATTTGTATTTGTTCTCTGTTGATACGTTCTAGTTCTTTATTCAGGGACATCAGCAAGGTGAATGATGAATGGTTTTCTGATGAAGACAAAGTCCGTGGTATTGTTGGCTTACTTGTGAATGGAACTGATTTTCATAACTCGAGGAAGGTATGTACTATTTGTTAAAATATTGGCACTTCTGTTTCCTATGTCAGATCAGGGTCATTTTGCCCCATTGGTTCTGGGTCTATGTATACCATTTTCTAACCTCTGACAGTTGTTTTGGTTGCAGCTAACTTGTGGAATATGTTTTGAAGGGTACTCTTCAGATATGATGAGTTCTGCGGGCTGCGCTCATTTTTATTGCCATGAATGTTGGGAAGGTCTCTCTCTCTCTCTTTGTGTGCTTGAACGTCTGGTCACATTACTGTCTATTTCTCTGCTTCTGACTTTCTGAGTACCAGTTCTTTCATGCAGTTGTAGGTAAGCATGCATAGCACACTTACTACAAAATTATTTAATTTCGCCTTGTTGGCTTTCCCAAATTTATTTTGTTTCGGTGGCTGTGATTTGAGTCATTGAGCACCGCTTAAGAAGAATGACAAGCGTGACCAAAAATCAGTTTGGTTTCATGCCTGGGAGGTCGACCATGGAAGCCATTTTCTTGGTACGACAACTTATGGAGAGATATAGGGAGCAAAAGAAGGACTTGCATATGGTGTTCATTGACTTGGAGAAGGCCTATGATAAGATACCGCGGAATGTCATGTGGTGGGCCTTGGAGAAACACAAAGTCCCAGCAAAGTACATTACCCTCATCAAGGACATGTACAATAATGTTGTGACAAGTGTTCGAACAAGTGATGTCGACACCGATGACTTCCCGATTAAGATAGGACTGCATCAGGGGTCAGCTTTGAGCCCTTATCTTTTTGCATTGGTGATGGATGAGGTCACAAGGGGTATACAAGGAGATATCCCATGGTGTATGCTCTTTGCGGATGATGTGGTGCTAGTTGATGATAGTCGGACGAGGGTAAATAGGAAGTTAGAGTTATGGAGACAAACCTTGGAATCGAAAGGGTTTAGGCTTAGTAGAACTAAAACCGAGTACATGATGTGCGGTTTCAGTACTACTAGGTGTGAGGAGGAGGAGGTTAGCCTTGATGGCCAGGTGGTACCTCGGAAGGACACCTTTCGGTATTTGGGGTCAATGTTGCAGGAGGATGGGGGTATTGATGAAGATGTGAACCATCGAATCAAAGCCGGATGGATGAAGTGGCGCCAAGCTTCTGGCATTCTCTATGACAAGAGAGTGCCACAAAAGCTAAAAGGCAAGTTCTACAGGACGGCGGTTCGACCTGCAATGTTGTATGGCGCGGAGTGTTGGCCGACTAAAAGGCGACATGTTCAACAGTTAGGTGTGGTGGAGATGCGTATGTTGAGATGGATGTGTGGCCACACGAGGAAGGATCGAGTCCGGAATGATGATATACGAGATAGAGTTGGGGTAGCACCAATTGAGGAGAAGCTTGTCCAACATCGTTTGAGATGGTTTGGGCATATTCAGCGCAGGCCTCCAGAAGCTCCACTGCATAGCGGACGGCTAAAGCGTGCGGAGAATGTCAAGAGAGGGCGGGGTCGACCGAATTTGACATGGGAGGAGTCCGTTAAGAGAGACCTGAAGGATTGGAGTATCGACAGAGAGCTAGCTATGGACAGGGGTGCGTGGAAGCTTGCTATCCATGTGCCAGAGCCATGAGTTGGTTGCGAGATCTTATGGGTTTCACCTCTAGCCTACCCCAACTTGTTTGGGACTAAAGGCTTTGTTGTTGTTGTTGTTGTTGTTTGGCTGTGATTTGAGTAATGTTTGACATGTGTCTGTGCTTAAGACATGATGATATTATGAGTAGGACATAAAAGGTTTAGTTTTGATTTTCTTTAAAGAACCTGAAGGTTCGAAGTATTCTACTTTGCATCCTTTCGTTTTCGATAGATATGCATTAGGCGCAGTTGGGTGATATATCCTGCTGTGAAGGTTAAGATTTAAAGGTTTCAACAGCACACAAGATCTTTCACGTGCATGCAATGTTAATGTCAGTTAATATTTGGTCCTATGATGCTACTATTCAACTCTCCTGTTTCACACTTATCTCTCCGTTTCAGTCTTTATTATGGAACTTCTGATAATTAAGTCAAAATTTGTAGGTTATATCAGCGCTGCTGTAAGTCAGGGTCCGGGATGTTTGTCATTGCGATGCCCTGATCCATCGTGCAGTGCTATTGTTCTTCAAGGCATGATAAATAAGTTAGGCAAACACGAAGATAAAGAGAAGTACGCACGATTTGCCTTGCGTGCATATGTGGAAAGTCGCAAGAAGGTAAGTTGTTCACACGATTATCTGGGGGGCTTTCTTGTTTATACTCTATACCTGCAGATACATTAGCAATTCTGATATTATGTACTTTTTATGTTACACCTTTATGTAATCTTAATTATTTCGTGCAGACGAAATGGTGTCCAGCTCCTGACTGTACATGTGCAGTGGAATTTGTTAGTGATGTAAACTATGATGTCTCATGTAACTGCACATTCCGATTTTGCTGGAATGTGAGTGCTACTGCTTCCATTTTACTATCAACCTGTTGCTTCTGTTTTTCCTAGCGATTGGATGCTTCTGTTTTAATCTTTTATTGGTTCTAGTGATAATACATGCTCTGGATTCACTAATGCTCGTTCTATGTTTGCAGTGCACAGAAGAAGCTCACAGACCAGTGAACTGTGAGACTGTTTCTAAGTGGATTCTGAAGAACAGCGCTGAATCTGAAAATATGAACTGGTTGGTTACTTGCTCAGTATAGTAATATTTGATGCGTTCTTATCCTTCACCTCAGATACTATGTTTGCGCTGCTAGTGGTCAGTTCAGATAAATAGATTATTATGTAAGCAGTTTCCTGATTTTGTGTGGACTGTAGGGCAGGTTGGTTGATACATGATCTGTTCGCATTTTCCATTTTCTTACCTATAATAATTTTAAAAACCAAACGGGGCCTCAGTGGTTTCTGATTGCCTACTTTTTTTTTTTTTTTGTTAATGGACACTTGGAAGTGGTTCATTCGTTCATTTATTCAATTGACGTGTTCTGCCATTTATTTGAAAAATCTGAACTGAGCAATAGAGGCACAAGTGAAGATACTGCTATATGTTAGTAATAGCAGGAGCATATACCATTAAATTGGTGTATCAACATGATGAATGGGAGTTAGCCCATAAATGCGCTAATGAGTATTTATGTTGCTTTAAATCATATCAGCTGGCTTAACATGTCATGGGTGTTGGGTGCTCATTTTCAGGATACTGGCTAATTCTAAGCCCTGTCCAAAATGCCAACGACCGATAGAGAAGAACCAGGGATGCATGCATATGACTTGCACACCTCCTTGCAAATTTGAGTTTTGCTGGTATATTTCACTGCCCATTCTTGATGAAAGGCGTTAAGATTTACAGTTATCATGTTTTCATGCTTGTCATTTGATTTTCTTTAAACATTTTAGGTTATGTCTGGGTTCATGGGTAGAACATGGTGAGAGGACTGGTGGCTTTTATGCTTGCAATCGCTATGAATCGGCAAAGAAAGAAGGAGTTGTACGTTTTTTCGACTATGCATCTGTACCCTATATTTATGGCCCTGTGTGGTTCGCTGTATTGTTTGCTGCTCTTCTTTAACCTAATTAGTTATGTTGCAGTATGATGAGGCTGAAGCAAGGAGGGAAAGGGCTAAACACTCACTCGAGAGATATATGCACTACTATGAACGCTGGGCATCTAATCAGACAGTATGTTCAAGATACTTAAGTTTGGTGTCTATGAGTTTCTCTGTTTCTATGATTACCACACATGCAGCTTGCATTATTCTCCTGCTCATGAGTTACCTTTATGTTTTTTACCCGTCTCACCTACCTGGACAAGTATTGCATTATCCACAAATGCGGCTTGCATTATTCTCATGGTCATGCGTTACCTTTATGTTTTCTAACCTCCTCACCTACCTGGACTACTATTGTGTTATCCATGCATTTTAGAATGTGCTATTCAGCTACATTATAAAGCCGCAACTACAGCTGTCAGTGCAGTAACCTAACCAAAGAAGACAAAAGATGAGATACTAGATGGGAGACAGACTCTGGCATCACCATACATGATAATTTCTCTGTACAGAAAAAATTAGGCATATTATTCTACAAATGCAGTCAAGGTTCTAAGATTTTAGCTACCAATATGTCCAAAAGTTTCTGGAACACTTAGTCTCACAAATTACAGTTTTTAGGAATATCACAATTGAAAATCATAGTCACATAATCATGCTTTACGGTCTGAAAAGTCAAACACCTTATATTTTTTTGGTGGAGGGAGTATTAGCAAAGTTGTAACTCTTGCAACCTTGTTTCATCAGACATCCTAAACAAATTAGGCTGGTAAAAAGTCATCTTATGAAAGAACCGTCAAATACAGACAACTGCCCTAACTCTTGAAAAACAACCAACACCCTTCAGCTGTTAGCATCTTCTTAGGACCATCTCTTTGGCTTCGTTGAGGCTTGTCCTTTTCGTGAGCTTCTTCTGATGAGCAAGTATTGTGTCCATGATTATACTTGGTTGGAGCACTAACCCAAGTCCTAATAAAACCAAATATTTTTTTACTTGCATTGTCGTGTGTATTACCTGACCAGTTGGCAAACATTTTTTTAATCTGTTGGGCATGTCTATGATGAATGGTTCGATGAAGTCTTTTTTCAACTATATTAAGTTTCTGTGGTGCTGATGTGCTGATGTGTCTATTGACAGTCGAGGCAGAAGGCAATAGCAGATCTGCAAAAGGCGGAAAAGGAACAAGTAAGGATCTACATTATGTTATTGGCACTGCCTTTAGTGCTCCAGATCTGAGTTTTTCTGTTTGTTCTTTCCTGATTTGCTCTTTTATGTAACACTAATTTTGTTTCTCTTGTGTGCTAAAGCTTGCAAAGTTAACTGATATTTATGGAATACCGGAGACACAACTGAAGTTCATTATTGAAGCTTGGTCACAGGTTCGATGTCATAGTTTTATGTTATGGTCAAACAGACTTTTGACACTTCGTACTCAGCAAATCTTCTTATATCTGATGATGCATCACTACACTACATTACAGATTATAGAATGCAGGCGAGTGCTTCAATGGACGTATGCGTATGGCTATTATCTCGAGGACAAGGTCAAGAGTGGATTTTTTGAGTATCTGCAAGGTTGCTATTTCTGTGCATTTACAGAGGTCGTCCATAATTCAGAAGGTTTTTCACATGCTTGCAAAAATCTTAGAACTTCTGTAATCCTAAATGTTCACAGGTGAAGCTGAGTCTGGTTTGGAACGTCTCCATCAGTGTGCTGAGAAAGACCTGCTAGCGTTTTTGCCATTCTCAAAACATGATACTACTGAAGATCATCCTTCACCAGCTGAATTTGGTGAATTCCGTGTGAAGCTTGCTGGTCTGACAAGGTATTACAGACTTGCAGTCTTCATATCGTTGTGTTATCTAGTTAATATATGTTGGTTCTTCTCCTTGAGTTTTCTCTTCTGCTCATTGGAGCTTATTCTCTCTTTGAAAGTTGAACTGAACTTGACCAAGGGCCAGTTCTTTTGCTGGCTTCTAGAATAAGCTGGAATTAGCTACCCCCTACCCAGCTTATTGTAGAAGCCCAACCAATATTTTTTTTAGATTAGCATGCACTTCTCTTGGTGCTGAACAGATGGTAAAAGTGAGAGATTGTCTAGCATCGTTGTTTAGGGTTGGGAGAGTAGGTGCAGATAAAGAGAAGCTAGCACCCACGCTAAGCTAAATAAAGTACTTTTGATTAACTTTTGTGTAGTTCAAACGATAAATAATTTAAAATTCTTAGCACTACAGGTGGTGCTAACAGATGTTGTAAAAGAAGTTTATAGGGTTGAATGGTGGGAGAAGGCTGATGTGTCAACCTAATTTTTGGGTGCCAAGGATGCTGATGCTCTTTGAAATTGTTGATTCTATTAGATAACATTCTGAGGGCCCAAATTCATCAAAATAGTGGTACATGAAAGGCGATGGATGGATGAATTAATTAGGCTTCTTTGATTCACTGGTCATGCTAATTCTGATTAACTAGTGTTGTCTGTGCAACGCATTATGTAATGACATTTTGTCTGAGCAACATGTTTCCATGCTCATAGATGGCCATTGTGATGTGCTTATATGCTAATGTTGCGCTGCAGTATAACTCGGAATTACTTTGAGAACCTTGTTCGAGCATTGGAAGATGGGTTGGAGGATGTCCAATGTGCCGGAGAGGCTGCAACCTCAAGCAAGGCCACCAACTCGAAGAAAGCAGGAGCTAAAGGCAAAGCGGCGAAGAAGCAGCCGTCCAGATCATCTTCGGACCATTCTGATGATACTTGGCCATGCGAGCGCTGCACATTTCTGAATCCCTCTTCAGCGGATGCGTGTACTGCCTGTGATAAGCAGCGGTACTAGTAGATTAATAAACGGCTCAAAAGGCAGTGACACAAGAAGCTCAAAGCGCATGAAAACATGTGTGTGCTTATGCTTTAGAAGGTGAAGCAGAGCTCTCAACGGATGCAACGGTGTACATAAGAAAGGTCCAAGGCCCGCCCTATGTTTTATGTAGATCCCAACGGATATCATTGGTTACAAGGTCAATGTGCTTTTGCCTGTGTGTTGTAAATATTGGTTACGCATAGGTGTAGTGTGGTGGGTTTCTTATGCGGTCCATCCACCTTGCTCCCTTCGTTTCTCCTAACCTAAAACATATTAGGTTAAGACTTACCAAGAATTGTTTTATTAATATATGATTTCTTTTTGTGTGGAATGTGTGATCCATGTGATCTGAAATTGTTGTTTCCAAAACATTTCTCTGTTCCTAAATATAAGTGTTTTCCGATATTCAAATAGACTACTACTCCCGTAAAGAAATATAAGAGCGTTGCAACTGAAGAAAAATAATTAGATTATACAGATATGCCCGTGCGTTTGCAACTGAAGAAAAATAATTAGATTATACAGATATGGTAGAGACAATATAAGTTTGAAACATATGCCAGTATTAGGAAAGGACTTTTGAAAGATTTAAGCTGTGTCAATTTTTTGGGCAGAAAAACGGAAACCCTTTTCGCCACCCATGATGTACTAAATAAAATCATAAAATGACATCCATAGATCCTAAAAAAAACCTCTATGTTTATTTTGTTTGTTATTTACAACACATGATGCACGGGTTTATTTTGTTTGTTATTTACGGATCTGTTTGAATGGATCCGTTTGAATTTTGTGAACATCTTCTTAATTTTTTTTCTAAACTCCCAAATATGTTTTGAATACACAATAAAATCATGAATATTTTTTATCTGTGAACATTTTTGCAAAATCATGAATTCTTTTATAATGTGTGAAGAGTTCTTTTTTAAATACCAGACACTTTATGATTTTTAAAATATTTTTTGAAATCATGAACATTTTATGATTTCTTAAAAACATCCGAAAGTCGTAATTTTTGGAAATTTGAAAATTTTGGAATTCCAGAATTAATTTAAAGAAGAAAAAAGCAGAAATAAGAAAAGAAACAAAAGGAGCGTCACACACGGCAATGGGCCAGCCCATCAACACCTGCGGGTGGTGGAGGAGGCATGCTCGCAAGACAAAAAAACAGAGGAATAAAGGAGAACAACTAATTAACGAGCGCTCCTTCGGGAGCCTCGCAACGATCAACGCCATTTGGCGTGCTCTCAGCCATTCACCACGTGTCGCGCTCTGGGCGCTCTTTCCGAATTTTTTTTCCGCACGTGTTTTCGACTTTTTAACGGTTTTTTCGAGTTTTTTCGACGTTTCGGTTTTCCACCGGTCTTCCTTAGCTTCTCGATCAAAATAAAAAAAATAATTATTTTTTACGCAAAAAAACGCGTTTTTTTCCTTTCGCGAGAGTCACGGTTTTGCTTCCGCGAGAGGCACGGTTTTGCTTTCGCGAGAGTCACGGCCATGCCTCTTAGAAACGAAAAAAACACGTTTTCTGTTTTTTTTCCTTTCGCGAGAGTCACGATTTTGCTTCCGCGAGAGGCACGGTTGTGCTTTCGCGAGAGTCACGTCCGTGTCTCTCGAAAACGAAAAAAACACATTTTCTGTTATTTTTTTATGAGAGTCACGGTTTTGCTACCGTGAGAGGCACGGTTGTGCTTTTGCGAGAGTCACGGCCGTGCCTCTCGGAAACGGAAAAACACGTTTTTTTTTCTTTCCCTAGAGTCATGACCGTACCTCCTTGAAAACGGAAAAAACGCGTTTTTTTCCTTTCGCGAGAGTCACGGTTTTTGCTTTCGCGAGAGGCACAGTTGTGATTTCGTGAGAGGCACGGGCGTGCCTCTTTCGGAAAGAGAAAAAATCCATGCTCCCAATTCGGTTTTTTCGTCCGCTTTTTTGTCCTTTTTTTGTAAAAAAAGTTCGTCAAAACCTATCAACATTGGATCTAGTTTTGAAGATCTCGATGCGAGGAATTGTTCGAGATTTGGATGCACGGTAAGAGATAAAACATTTTGAATAAACAGATCTACGAAAAAAAGGAAAAACTCCCGGGTTGCGACAAATGGCGCACATGCAGCGCGCCACTTGTCGCAACTCTGGTGAGGTTGGAGTGATATTTGCAACAAGTACTCCTCAACTAGTGATTTCGGGAATAAATGGCAGATCCTAGGATCGAATCCGGGTACCCCGAGCTGAAGGGAGAGGCTCTAGCCATTGCGGTACTGGTGGGCTTTTACAATATATGGGTATCATGCTATAAGAACCATATCCGACGATGATGAATTTTTAAAAACCGAATCACTTTTGGCACTTACGTGTGGCATTGGTGGGTAATTGTTATCAACTTCGAGGGTAATTTAGATGACAGTGAACGGGCAGAAGCACTTCGTGCTTTATTATTATAGAAAGATAAAGTAGTTGTCTAAAGAGGGAAATACACGAGTGGTGTTTGAACTTGCCACGAATGTGCATGTCAGTGCATGAACTTGCAAAATACATTAAATTGGTTTCATAACTTGGCATGGGCATGCATATACGGTTCAAATCTCGTTTGTATACGGCAGGCACGCCAACGTGGCACGGGACCCGCTGTTAGTGATAGCAAAAACAAAGGCATGTGGACTAGGTTGTTGTGAAAACCCCCCAAATTATTACTATTTTCTTACAAAAAGGCCCTCTGAGGGGAAACCGATAAATTATTATAAAATAAAAACAACAACCTACCGTCACATGCATGCGTGGCTAGCCAGTCGACCAATTCACATTTGCTGCTAATTAATGATTCATAAGCTTTATTTATACATTTGGCTGAACAACATAAATAAAAGGAATTTAATCCAGCAAAAATAGTACCAAGTCTGTGATTTGAACAACCGACCAAAATGTTAAAACTAATTATGTAATTAGGGGAAAATCTCCCCTCGCCCAACCGTCGTGCGGTTGTTCCCGCAACGGACACCTCCCTTCTATTCCTTGGAACCGACGCCCCCTAGCGATGGATCGTCATGTCTCTTCGGGACGTATAAAAGGGGCCTGCACGTTATCAGCCGTAGGACTCTACCAGAGAGCGAACAAATACAGAGAAGAGGAAGAGATCGAGAGTTCGAGACTTGCCGTTTTCTACGGGGACAATGCGGTGGATGAGGAATTATGCCTTGTGGACAGTGGTACCACAAACTCCATACTGAGGGAGATGAAATATTTCCAAGCTCTGAAAAAGATGAATGGAGATATTCTAACTATCGCTGGACGCGATACAGTAATTGTTGGTACTGGACGTGCCATATTCACCCTCCCAAGTGGTACACAAGTGACGATTGAGGATGCTTTATTGTATCCCGACTCATCACGTACCCTGATCAATTATCGAGATATCTGTAAGAAATGGTTTTCATATTGTGACGCCCGGATAATCAAGCTACAGTAATTTCATGCTAATGGTGCCATGTCATCATTTTCACTGTTGCTAAATCCCCCTTTGATTTAATCCGGTTCAAATTCAAATTTCAAATTCTAAGTAAAATCCAAATGTTCTCAAACATGATAACTAAAATGTTGATCATGTGATAAACATTCATTTCTTAATATTGGTGGTGAGCCAACTTTTTAGAAAGTGGCTTAGTGCCCTAGAATGAAATGAAACAGAGGCTTTAAAAAAAAGGAAAGGCTATAAAAAAGGGGCTTCACTTGCTCCCCCGGGCCTCAGCCCATCAGGGACAGGCCCAGCTGGTCCGGCCCAGCCCCTCCCCGGGTCGCCTTCTCCCCCTGTTCCCTCGACCGGGGTCGCAACAGGGGCGAGCCCCGCCGGACCGCCTCTTCGGCGGCTCCCGGAGAGGATAAGGTCGAGCCCCCCCCTCCTCGACGCCTCGGCCTCCTCCCCACCTACCTCCACTCGCCTCTCTCGCCTCCCAGATCCACCTGCTCATCCCCCTCTCTGTCTCGCTCGCCCGCCTCACCCGAGCGCCATCGTCGCCGTCTCCGCGTCGATTCCCCGGCCACCAGCCGCCCCGCGCCGCCCGGAGGCATCTAGGAGGACTACCGCCGTCCGCTCCATCGTCCACGCCCACGCGCAGGAGCTGGGAGCCCCTTCATCGCCGGGCCGACCCTTCTTCCTCCGCTCTGGCCACCACGAGCTCGCCAATGACTCCGGCCACCTCGACTCTCCCTCGGGCCTTCCCAGCAACGGCGGTGAGCACCTCATGCTCCCCTTCCTCCTACCCCCTCGTTTTCTATGCCCTAGCCGTCCCGCCACATTACCGAGCTCCGCCGCCCGCCATCCGCCTGCGCGCCCGCGTTTGGGCACGCGTAAGGGCGCCCGCGGCGCCGCCCCCGTGCTCGCGTATAGTCCCCATAGTCGCCCCGCCTCGCTTTCGATCGAGGCCCGAGCGCCGCCGTCCGCTGATGGGCTCGCCGTCGTCGCTTCGGTGCTCCTCCGGCCACGCCACCGCCACAGATTACCTCGCCGTCGCACGCTCATTCCAACGCACCCACGCGCGACCCTTCCCTTGCTCTGTGCGCGATTTCCGACCACCCCCGCCGCGCGCCGCCGCGCAGTTTGCTTGCCGGGGCAACTCCGACACCGGCCGCCGACGTGGCCGACCTAGGGCCACTCCCAGGGTCGCTGCCAGCGGGCCCCGCGGGCCTCAGTTGACTGGGTTGACCCAGTCAACTGCTGACTGGGCAGCCCAGTACCACTGACATGCAGGCCCCACCGCATATTAAGCTAATTAAAATGTTTTTATAATTAAAAGTAATTAGTAAACTAATCTGCCTTTGACATGTGGGGCCTAGCTATTAATTAACTCCATTTTAGTTAGTTTAGACTTCTGTTAGTCCACTGTCTATGACAGGTGGGACCCACTGGTCAGTTTGACCTGGTCAGCCGTCCTGTTGACTGCTGACGTCACAATGATGTCATGCTGACGTAGTAATTCCTTTCTGTTAAT